CACTGTCATCCCCACTATCATCATGACTGCCTACCTCGTCGTCCTCCTCGGCACTAATAGACTTCTCTCGCCTGAAGTCTGTCAAGGCTTCAGCCTGCGTGATGGCGTCGTCTATAGTCCTAACTTGCCGCCGTTCCAACTCCGTTCTGGCCCAATTTTGCAGCCCATCCATGAAGTAGAACAATGCGTCGTCGTCCATGAGGTTGGGAATCTGAAATGTAAGGGTGGTAAACTCCCGCACATACGCGCGTATTTGTCTCAACTCCCGCATCTTGCGCTTTGCCTCATAGACAACGTTGCTAGGGAGGAACGCCTTCTTGAACTCTACACGGAACTGCTCCCATGTGTTCAACGCGCACGTCCCCTTTGCAATGTCAGACTCTTTACGCTTCCACCATAGCATGGCCAACTCTGAAAGATACAACACAGCCGTGTTGATCTTGTTCACATCACTACGGACCCGCATACACTTAAAATAATTTTCCAAGTGCCAAAGGAAATTATCCACCGCTTGCGCGTCACGGACGCCTATGAAGACTGGTGGCTTGGGCGCCTCAACTCTGGCTTCCCTTTCCCGGTCACGTGATGAGGATCCACCAACCTCTCTATCCTCCTCGAGTGCTGCCACCTTGGCCTTAAGCAACTCGATTGTGCCAATTGCTTCCCTAAATCTGATTTCTAAGGAAGTAATGGCCTCCTTGGTCTCGTACTCGGCTTGCTGGCGTGCCTCCAACTCCTTCCGGACGTTCTCAACTTCCTCAAGGGAGTACTCTTCAAGAGCTTTGAGATCCCTGTCCGTTCTATTCAAGCGCTGGCCTATGATCTCAACGGCTTGCCTCGCCCTTTCGACCCTTGCAATCCACTCCGGTCCGACAGTAACGTCCACGGACTCCTCGCCGGTGTCTACTTCACTTCCATCAACAATATGGGGAGGGAGGGATGTTTGCCCTTCGCTTGGTGTAGGAACACTAGGTGGAGGAACATTTTGTGGAAGACCGGGCAGATTGGGTTCATTACCCGTCTGCTGCTTCTTCCCATTCTTGTTCTTCTTGCCACCATCAGTGCGGATGTTGGGGGTGCTGCTAGCGCCGCTTCCTTCGTTCGTCATTCTCTTACGATGAACCTGCTCTGATACCAATTGTCACGGACTTTTCAATCTAGACAAGACTCCGTGCGGCACTTGGCGGTTTGCTCACGAATCTTTCACGTATCTCACAAACTCAAGTAAGCCTCACAATTTTGGATCGCTAAGAGAAATCAAGAAGAAAGACAAAAGACAATTTTGGAAGAAAGACTTGTATTCAAATGTTGGTTGATAGATGTATTACAAATACAATGACTACCTATTTATACTACTCTAAACACTAAGAGTAAATAAATGCTACACTATATACAAGCCCCTAAGTCCATGCCCACAAGACATGCTTCTAAGTCTTCCAAAAAAAAGGACTCCTAGCCTTGACTAGTCTGCCCCCACGTCCTAGAGGCCTTGAGCAAGCCTCATCAAGGCTTGAAAGTGCTGCCCCTTCACCTTCAGTAACAGCTGTAACGGCTGAAACTGCCGAAACGGTTGTAACGGCTGCCCCTCCAACTGCTGCCTGCTTGGGCGCCTGCACCTTGGTCTGCTGACTGGTGTGGGCCGCTAGACCCTTTGCGCCTGCTGCTGGCTTCCTAGGCAGGTCTCGATCTGCCTGGGTATCGGGCGGTCGTAACAAATGGCTATACACAGTTGTTGTTTGGAAGTTGGAAAAGAACATTATATCATAGTTTAAGTCTTTTCGTCTCCAACATAAAACTTTTGATTTTCTTTAATTACCTAACTTAATTGATAATGAATGATGTTATCTATTCCATTAAATTATGCTCAATGATCAATATAATGAATTCATAAATCAAGAATATGTACAACTCTCTCTGTTATTTTATGTGAACGTTTTCGTAAAATATATATTGTTCTTGTTTATGTAATATTTATGAGTTTAGAGTTTTATAAATTATCAATGTTTTTTTATATTAATATTTATGATTTGAAATCAATTGGATGTATTGACATAGAAGTGGTAGAGATTGACTTTCGGACCTCTTATATGTCATACCTTTATCATTAGCTTTGAGTCTTTGCCTAAGTTGTTTGAAACTTTAATTTTAATACCTTAAATTTTCTGAAGTTGGTAAAAGAAAAAAGTGGATAAATGAAAAATAATAGGTATTCATATATAATATTTTGGTGATATATGTTTATTAATATTTTCCTAATTATATAATCATAAGTGGTTGAATGAAACCACTCCAATTGTTAGAAATCAATAATCAAAACAACAAATGGAATACACATCAAGAACATTACTTATGACAAAGTATAATGTAATATATCAATACATTAAATGTTGCTCAAAAATATATATATATATATATATATATATATATATATATATATATATATATATATATATATATA